AACTAGACGAGAAGCAGAGCTGCCCTCGCTCGAGCGACAGCTTCAAATAAACCGTCGACGGGCCCCCACCATCGTCTGGTTAGCAAAAAGCCTCGAAGGATAAAAAGCAATCCCATAAGGGATCTAGTCAAGGGTAAGGTGAGTTTCTCCTCCTCCTCCTCCTCCTCCTCCTCCACATCTCAACCACACAAGGCCCGGTTCCAGTGACGTTCTTCTTTGTGCTGGGCTGCGATGCTTGGCTGTGAGCACATAGTTGGTGGTGCCGCAATATCATCACATTGCACGGGGTGTCCGTCCGGATCCATCTCCTGTCCCCACCAAAGCCAGCTTTCGTCACAACAATTTCTTAGGCCTACAATTTCGGCCGTTTGTTGATTTTGGGCCTTCTCCTATTTTGAACTAACAATTGAAGCTTTTTGGTGCAGGCTGCTCCCCTTTTTAAACGGCGCGCGATTCCGATTCTGCAGTTTGCCCGGACCGCATCGGAGCAAGCTTCCCACTCTTCGGTTTCCCTGCTTGAAACTCGGTGTCACGTCGCCGACCGACCGCCGAACAAACCCCCTCCGAACGAACACCGATTGCTTATTGGCTCGCCATTTGATTGCTTCGCAGCTACAGCCTCTTGGTGTTTTGCTCTCTCCCGGCATCCCGTCGTTGCTCTGCCCCAATCAGACAGTCCAAAGGCCTCTGCTGGCCTGGCCTCGTTGCAGAACGTCCTTGATGCCTCTAGGTGAGGCTATCGGTAACCTCCTCAAGAAGAAGCGGACCAAAGAGGGCAACCAGGACTCTTCAACGCACAGCAACCCCGCGAGCCCTGTGACACCCACCACAGCCAAGAGCCTCGAGCACCCTACCCTGCCGCTTGCGCCTTCGCAACCAGTGGCTGCGTCATCACAACCTGCTTCCACTGCCACCGCACACCCAGGGCCGGCCGAAGCGTCGGCCGAACCGCCAGTCACCATGAACACCAACAACCCACACACACAGGGCTTCTCTGCTCCCCAGCATACACCTTCACCAGGGACCGAGAACCATCAAAACATCCCACGCATCTCGAATCTCATACACTACCCACAACAGCATGATGGACCGGCTGGTGGGTACCAACAGCATATGGGAGCTCCCGCTCCTCAGTACACCACACATCCACCCAGCACAGGAATGCCCGGGCAGCAGCAGTTGCCATTGCCACAGCAACCTCAACAACAACAACAATATCCGCAGCAACAGCAGCAGCATGGTATGCTTCACCAACAACAGCCACACCAGCCACTGCCCCAGCAGCAACCACAACAACAAGTACAACAAGCGCAACAAAACACGGCAGAACAACCACGCGTCACCAAGGGAAAGTATTCTTTGAACGACTTTGATTTTAGGCGGACCCTGGGAACTGGCAGTTTCGGCCGAGTCCACCTGGTGCAGTCACGCCACAACCAACGGTTTTATGCTGTCAAGGTGCTGAAGAAGCAGCAAGTGGTCAAGATGAAGCAAATCGAGCACACCAATGACGAAAGAAAAATGCTGGCCGAGGTCAAGCACCCGTTCTTGATCACGCTTTGGGGTACTTTTCAAGATTCAAAGAATCTGTACATGGTGATGGACTTTGTGGAAGGAGGAGAGTTATTTTCTCTGCTGAGAAAATCAGGGGTAAGTTTTTGAGCTGAAAAGGGGGTTGAGGCTGGTTGGATGTTGACTGTTGGCAGCGT